TATGGACACCACAACAGAACTTGGTTAGCTGATTGCCCTGTCCCTAACAAGCAGTGGAGGGCTTGCACGGGGTCAGGAGGTTGTCTTAAATGCATCCCAGAGCTGGCTGGAGCTGATATGGGGTGCGGGGTGAGGGGGGGACTTGCACTTAAATGGATGAGAAACCCTCAGAATATTCTGTCCCCCTCAATACTGCAGGAATAGAAATCTTCAGCAGAGAACAAAGCACCCTGGGAAGGCTAGATTAGCAGAGTGTCCCCAGCGAGCATCTAGCCACAGCCTTAGTTCTCTCGCACTTTATGATAAGGGGGATTTCAGGAAGGGCCTAGAAAGGCCAGGATTTGTAGCAGTACCCTAAGACCCAGGATTTTAGCTCTGACGTCGTTTATTTCTGAGAGTTTACCTTAAGAACAGAGCCATATGGATGTTACCAGAGACAATAATCAAGAGGATCATCAATGTTAAGCATCAAGGGATGTAAATCTGTTTCAGGGAGTAAGGCAGCATAGATAACTGTCATACTATTTCTCCTCCAGCTTGGCAGCAACAAGGAAAATGTTAGTGATGTACTAGCTACGGCTTGTTCTCACCAAGGAACCAACATGAACCGATTCTGACCACGAGTACCACTCTACAAACAGCTTCTCATTGCATGTGAGACAGTGGGTCAAACTCTTTATTTCCTATGCACAGAAAGACAGACCACTAGTGCTGAGGAGAGTGCACATTAGGAACTTGCTGAGGTGATAAAGTAGCTAGACACTGCAGACTGGTGCGGTTGGGGAGTTTACTGATGTACCATTTTCCCTCAGAAATTTCAATATTCTGTTTTGCCTCTGTGAATTTGAAGCGGGATACTTTGTTAGGGAAAAGTCACACCCCTGTTTGCCTCTTACAAGACTTACTTCTCCTCAGCATATAGGAAACTCCACAGAAGAGCAAGCTGAGAAAGCGTCCTTACACCTGCCTTATAGACATTTTGTCTTACCATTGAGCCTATTACCAAATCTGGGCCTGATGGTCTCAGTCAACCCAGAGTCTTAACATCCATCTGTTAGCGCTAAAGCCAGTCTGCCCGGCTCAGTTATTAGGATTAGGGCAAAATATCTTGTGACTTCAAGTTATGTTCTCAACTTCGTTGTCATGGGCCCTGGTGTAAACAACAACATGCCTTGCCCTTTCCCTCTCCTCCCACTCTAACCATCAGTTAGTCACATACTGGGACATTTCTGACCTGCGGGGCCAAATGCAGCTGCACGTCTTACCCGCTCAGTAGCTGTGTTGCTGTTTGCTGGATAAAGCAGTGAATTAATTGTAGGCCTTACTGTCTTTGCCAGTTTTACTGGTAGCATTAAGGAAAGGTTATGAACTAACTTGCTGCAAAGGCTGAGCACAAACTCATCCTTCATTTCAATTAACAGCACTTCTGTAGTGAGAGGCCAAGAATTAAAGCCAGCTTGAGACGCCGTTCAAAATGCCAAATTTGTACCTTGTCATGGTTTAACCCCAGTCAGCAACTAAGCACCACACAGCCGCTCACTCACTCCCCACCCTGGTGGGATGGGGGAGAGAATCGAAGGGTAAAAGTGAGAAAAGTCATGGGTTGAGATAAAATCAGTTTAATAATTGAAATAAAATAAAACAATAATAAATTTTAATGAAAAAGGAAAAAAGAGAAATAAAACCCAAGAAAGACAAGTGATGCAAGTGAAAACAATTCTCACCACCAACCAACCGATGCACAGCCAGTTCCCGAGACGTGTGCCTCCGCCAGCCTCCCCCCTAGTTTTATTGCTGAGCTTGACATCATAGGGTATGGGATATCCCTTTGGCCAGTTGGCGTCAGCTCCCAACTTCTTGTCCACCCCCAGCCTACTCACTGATGCGGTTGGGTGAGGAGCAGAAAAGGCCTTGACTCTGTGCAAGCGCTGCTCAGCAGTAACAAAACACATCCCTGTGTTATCAACACTGTTACCAGCACAAATCCAAAACATAGCCTCATGCTAGCTACCATGAAGAAAATTAACTATCCCAGCCAAAATCCAGCAAATACCTGCATGTCCTGTATAAGACACAAGGACATTGATCTTCTTAATTGAGCAGAACAAATTTAAAGGCTGTACTTTTTCCTGGCTGACATTGCAGAAAACACAGACGACAAGAAATGAGTGACTTTTCTCTGTGGAGAAAATCTCCACAGTAGGTAATCTACCTCAGGATCCATATAATGGCTTCAGTGCCTTTGGATCAGGAAGGTTAAGTGCTGAGTACTGCAGCGTCTGACTTATTGGCCTTCGGACTGGAATCTTGAAGCATGTCTGGTGTCTCAGCTATATATACAGATGCACATCTCTGATAGACAGACAGGCAGATAGATAGATGGAGCAAGCTAAGTACTTAATAATGGGCTCCAAAACAGTTGGTTTGTTGTGGGAGAAGGCCACTGCTATAGCTGGAAAAAAAAGTTGTTTTAAAGCCATCCCTTTCTTGAATTCCATCTTTTACTCCATGACACAGGGGGATGATACCCTGAGATGCTTCTGCCTTTAAAGTTGATCTTTCATATAAATATTTAGAATTTAGTTTACTTGGTGAGGCTGGGGCATCCCTTTCCCTCCCTGCACAAGCTAGGCCACTGAGCACCACAGGTTTCCACAGCTGCTGGTCCACAGAGACAGCACACAAAATGGACTCTGAGTCACTGGCCCTGGTGTTTGCTGCAAGGTACTCTTTGTGCACTTTTAGCTGATACAGCTGGTTAATTAATAAAAGGGCATCAGCAGCCATCACAGCAAAGACCAGAACTCAGGTTTACCCCATGTTTCAGATGGCATTTAAGCCAAAATGGATGTAAAAAATAGTAATAAATAATGTCATTGGAAGTGAAAACAGCCCTGTACAAGGCAGTCCACCTGTATGCCATGACAGACAGTCTTCTCCAGAGCTCTTTTGAGCTTCTCTCAGATTGTCGTTGCCACGTGACATGCACAAGCTGGGGTAAAGTAGTGCAAACACAGTTATTTAAAACATCGTCTTCTTTATGGAAGCTATCGGATTAGGCTGTTGGACTTAATCCCATTTAATGTCTCAGCAGGCTGGGCTCAGAGCGGCAGGGCTGACAGGTGCTCTGCATCGCTGGGAGCAAATGCTCCCGCTCGAGCAGCGCACTTGGCACTTTCGTAGCCAAACTCCGTTCCCTGCTTTGAGCCCTTGCTTTTATAGCAGAGGTTATAGGACCCGCAGTGGGCTTTGGTCTATGCAAATACACCATCTACCCCATATGACTTGCCGGAACAGGAGCTCTGTGTCTTGGTGATGAGCAAGGCTTGGTTTAGTTAGCTCCTGCCTCACAGATGACTGCCGGTGTTTTGCTCTCCACGCTTCCTGGTAGGTGAGGCAATGGTGGCCTGCAGCTCCTGTGACGGGAAGAGACAATGACCCTGACAGGTACTGCTGGCCCAGCGGGTGCGTGAAGCTGCCCGGTGGATGAGGTCAATACAGCAATAAGCAAAGCGTTTATAATAATAGTGCTATCCTGCTTCACGCTGCATTCCTCAGCGGGCGCTCAGCAGGCCTCCTAACACCCCAGCCACGAGCAAGGCGGGTGGCTGAACTCGGCGCCGTCCTGAGTGGCTCCCCTGAGGCCAAGATG